GTCCCATATTGTTTCTGCTTTAAAAATTGTTTTATTTGGTTTATGTAAAGATTTTATTATTTACATTTGTAACATATTTTTTTCTGGAGATCTGAGCAAGTTTTTAGCATCTTTGTATGTAGATTGTTGTTGTTACGGGGCATTAAGTTAAGCTGGGTAACTCTGCTTGTCTTGAAACTAATAAGCTCAGAGCATTGGGCCTGTTTTTCGGTGTACACTGGTATCATTTTGGTATATGGTTGTAAAACATGTAATTAGTTGTTTTTTTTTAATATATATATTTATGCTTATTTTTTTTTAATTGGGTATTCTTTTATTTTGTCGGCTTTGTTTGGTTTTGATAAGTCCCAAGTCGTCATACCATGTTTTCTATTCACAACACTTATAACTGATTGATGTGGATAATGCTATTGTTAAAACGGGTGAACTTCAACGGTTTGATATTTTTGTCTGTATCTTATAGAGCTATATACAATTTTTTAATAAGAAATTTCATACATACAATGCTTTATCTTAAAACTAGATAAAGGGATTTTTTTTGTAATGATCAATTTATTCTAGCCTTATGATAAGGTTGTCCCTATTCTAGCCTTATGATAAGGTTGTCCCCATTCTAGCCTTATAAGGTTGTCCCTATTCTAGCCTTGTTATAATAAGGTTGTCTCTATTCTAGCCTTATAATGCTAAGGTTGTCCCTATTCTAGCCTTATAATAAGGTTGTCCCTATTCTAGCCTTGTAATGCTAAGGTTGTCCCTATACAGGGAGGGTTGTTCAACCAGTCAAATATTATGTTGCTCACTGGTATTTTCATATAGTTTACTATACACCTGATGTACATACACTTTTAGCTGCTGATATTATGTACATACACATCATATTCTTTATATTATTGCTGTCATACTAACATTCCGTGTCGTTTGTTTTTGTGTAAGTAAAAAATTTTTTTTTTTCAAATCAGGAATGTGAATAGAAGCAGATTTAGTAGATTTAATCTCTGTGTTGGTATGGTAAAAAGTGTGGGTTTTTTTTTTTACTACACCAGTAAGTACTACACCGAAAATCTCAAGTTTGAATCCATGTTCACATCAGTAGAACATCCCTGAGTCCACCCAGCTCTAATGGGTACCCAACTCATGTTAGCGAAAGTAAAGGCGGCTGTGCAATGTGCTGACCACACCTTTCCTTCATTTGCTGAGGTCAAAAAACAAATGAACTCTACTTCATCTGGCCAGTGGATGGCTAGGTCTAAAGAGGAATCTTTACTTTAATGAGTTGAGGGTTAATTGATGATGCTCAGCTTTTGTTAAGGCAGTTCTGATGGGTGCCTGGTTTTGATCAGAAATTATTTGCTGGCCATTTTACTGACAACCCAATCACTTAGGTGTGATGATTAGACAGTAATGTATACTGTACCTTTATTGTGTGTCTGAATGCTGTATAGACAAAAGTTTAAGTATGATATCTGAATGCTGTATAAAACAAAGTGAAGTGTGAAATTGATGTCTAAATGCTGTATAGACTATAGTGTAAGTATAGAATAGACAGTAGTGTAAGTATGAAATTGATGTCTGAATGCTGGTATGAAATGGATGTCTGAATGCTGTAAAGACAATAGTGTCAGTATGATATCTAATGCAGTATAAAACTAAGTGAAGTGTGAAATTGATGTCTGAATACTGTATAAAAACCAAGTGTATGTATGAAATTGATGTCTGAATGCTGTATAAAAGTGTAAGTATGAAATTAATGTCTGAATGCTGTATAGATAATAGTGTAAGTATGAAATTGATGTCTGAATGCTGTATAAAAGTGTAAGTATGAAATTAATGTCTGAATGCTGTATAGATAATAGTGTAAGTATGAAATTGATGTCTGAATGCTGTATAGACAATAGTGTAAGTATGAAATTGATGTCTGAATGCTGGTATGAAATTGATGTCTGAATGCTGTAAAGACAATAGAGTAAGTATGATATTGATGTCTGAATGCTGTATAAAAGTGTAAGTATGACATTGATGTCTGAATGCTGTATAAAAGTGTAAGTATGATATTGATGATGAATGAAGTTGCATGAGTCATGCTCCTGATGTTGTGACTGGCAATAGAACCATCTGTTGTATTGCCTCTCTTGTTTGTGAAGAGTTCTATACTAACAACTAGCATGTACACATTACACTACACCATGTACATAGGACAGACACAACTGAGATCATTTGTAAGTAAATATTTCATGTCTTAGTTTCATGCATTGGATAGTATCTTTTATTTTAAATCATTTCTTCCATGTCCACATTTCATTGAAATGTTGGTTTTAAAGGCAATCATTGTAGTTTTTACTGACTTAATTAGGGCTGGCTACTAACATTATTTTATTTTATTAAGGTGAATCCTATGGTTGTGATTTTTAAGAAAAATCCTATCTGTGGGATTTTGTTTTACAGCTTGCTTGATAGCTAAGAAAAGATCACTTTTTAAAATAAAAATCTCCTGTTCATGAGATATGCTGTTTCAGTCTTTTTATTTTACATTAATGCAGTTCATTCCCTTTAAATAGTGGCGTGAATCATAAGACTGGGCGGGGGAAGGGGCGTTATAATATAAGGTTAGCCAGTCTTGTCCAAATTATCTCTACGAATGGTTTGATCTTTGTTTTGTTGTTTTTATTTTTATCGATGGAAATCAATTTGGTACTTTTAAAAAAATTATTTTCATTTAACGTTTTTCATGGGAGACAAAAATTGTTTTATAAAATAATTCACTTGTAACTTTTACCTTCTGCTCCCATACACGAGATTTTATATAGAAGATTTAACGTGTAATTTATCTTCTGATACGATACCTTAAATTTTAAAAAAAATTATGTAGTAATCAACTAGAAATATTTTGTTATATAAATGCGGACAGAATTGTTGCAGACTGCAAAATAAAACTAATTAAAGTATTTGATGAAATGACCACAAAGCTTTTTAAATTTAAAAAAAACGAGATTTGTGTTTTTCGGCTGATCTTTTTACCTTGAGATAGCATGAGGTCAAGCGACAATAAAATGTGTAAAGTTATTTTGTGGATGTTGAATCGTTAAGCCCTAATTCCTTTTATTTATGGGGTGCACTAAATAAGGAATTGGTTCAGTCACTTTGTTTAAATTAGTTTAATCAGTGTATTTATAATTGATTGGTTTACGGTATAAAAGTATAAGCTTAAATTTTAATATAACTCCAGCTTTACCCTGTTGTTAATATAGACACAAAACTTTTAAAAGGAAAGTTGACTATTGTTTAATTTTGAAACATAACTAACAATATTTCCCCAAAACTTTTTTTTTCAGGCAGCCCGATGTTACAAACGTATAGCTGGGTATTGATAAACCACTTTCCGTGGTCCATGCTTGCTACCTAATTCTGTCGGGGAGGGGGGGGGAGGAGGAGCCGGTATTTATGAGAGGAATGTTGGGTGTAGTATGGAGGCTTGAGGTCAAGGGGTGGGTGTGGGGAGGAGAGACTGATAATAGGGCGAGGGGTAAACATTGAATAGCTCTTACATTTTGTTTCTATGATGGTGAATGCTATTTTGCATAACAGTTTGAATATATATATATATATATATATATATATATATATATATATATATATATATATAATTCTCTTCATGGAGACCATAGAAAACACCACGCAGCTTAGCCACCACCCTCATCCCCACCTGTCAGGTGAGCTTTGGTTCACCCTTAATGCTTACAATAGAAGTGGCAGATAAAGCAGTTTTTAAACAATTTGAAACTAAGGGGAGGTAATTATAAGTTATGCTTGATCTTTTTATTGTCGCCTGTAAACTGTCGTCACGAGGGGGGGGGGGGGGAGTGGGAGGATAATCGTCCTTAACGAGATACTGATAGTGTTTTAAAGCAAAATATTTTCAGTCGCAGCATTGCTAGTATTAAATTGTTAAAAAATATTAATTACTGAAAAGTAGAATCTTTATATATAATTCTCTTCATTGTGACCATGCGAGACACCAAGACGTAAGCTCAACAGACTATATCACCCCCACCCACACCTGTCTGGTGAGCTGTTTACAAACGTAATAATTACTATTAGGGGCAGATAGTTTAGTTTTTAAGCGATTTGAAACTAAGGGGAGATAATAACATGTTCTGCTTGGTCTTTTCGTTGTCGCCTGTAAACTGTCGTCACAGACGGCTGCTTTCGTGGAGGCGGAGTGGGGAGGGGGGGGGGGGGAGGAGTGGAAAGTGAGGGTGGGGATAATCGTCCTTCACTAGCTACTGATAGTGTTTTAAATAATGCAAAATATTTTCAGTCGCAGCATTGGAAGTGTCGAAGTCACAAATTATGAATTACTGAAAAAAATTCATAAAAAACGTTTTAATAACAAGCTTTTATGTAATGATGCACTAAAAAGTAGAAAATAAATTATAGACTACTATTTAAATAACTATAAAGAAAAGCGTGGGTCACTTTAGTATCTATTGGATACCTTTACTAATGTTATGGAAGACACCCACGCTTTTCTTTATAGTTATTTAAATAGTAGTCTATAATTTATTTTCTACTTTTTAGTGCATCATTACATAAAAGCTTGTTATTAAAACGTTTTTTATGAATTTTTTTTTCAGTACTTTACATGTTTTATGTACAATAGAGTTACATGACTAAAAACCATTGCGCGCCTACTGAATATCACGTTCAGTAGGCGCGCAATGGTTTTTGAACGCAGCCATTACGTGGTCGTGATGGCGCAGCTATTGATGACGCGTGTGGTGTGGTTGGCTAGACATGCCTACTAATTCGGTCCAAATTTTAATTAATTCATAAAAAATCAATTAGGCATCCAATTAAGTCAAATTTAGTTTCAGATTGCATTGTCTTCATGTCTTGACCCACGTGCCAACTGTGAATCGTGTCGGTCAAGTAGAACTGTCCGAATTTTCACTCCTGCGTTTCCGTCAAGACAGACTTACGACAGACAGAGGAAGTGAGTTAAATAAAAGCTTGTAAAAAAAAATTCATAAAAAACGTTTTAATAACAAGCTTTTATGTAATGATGCACTAAAAAGTAGAAAATAAATTATAGACTACTATTTAAATAACTATAAAGAAAAGCGTGGGTCACTTTAGTATCTATTGGATACCTTTACTAATGTTAAGGAAGACACCCACGCTTTTCTTTATAGTTATTTAAATAGTAGTCTATAATTTATTTTCTACTTTTTAGTGCATCATTACATAAAAGCTTGTTATTAAAACGTTTTTTATGAATTTTTTTTCAGTACTTTACATGTTTTATCTACAATAGAGTTACATGACTAAAAACCATTGCGCGCCTACTGAATATCACGTTCAGTAGGCGCGCAATGGTTTTTGAACGCAGCCATTACGTGGTCGTGATGGCGCAGCTATTGATGACGCGTGTGGTGTGGTTGGCTAGACATGCCTACTAATTCGGTCCAAATTTTAATTAATTCATAAAAAATTAATTAGGCATCCAATTAAGTCAAATTTAGATTCAGATTGCATTGTCTTCATGTCTTGACCCACGTGCCAACTGTGAATCGTATCGGTCAAGTAGAACTGTCCGAATTTTCACTCCTGCGTTTCCGTCTAGACAGACAGACAGACTGTCGAGGAAGTGAGTTAAATAAAAGCTTGTAAAAATAGGAATTAAACTAGATAGCGGTGTATGCTACGTCGCGCGTCAGCTCGTATGTATAATTTCTGCAGCTTTGTACTCGGCATTTATAACGTGATAGGGGAGTACGTTTTCGTGAAGCGTCAAACTAATTGGGGTATTCCATGTTGTTCGCCTTCGTCGACTGTGGTCGACGTGATTGATTTGTGGTTAATGCCCCTTACAGGGATCTAAAAATTCCAAAAATGATACTATTTAGTTCATCTATAGATAAGTTTGATTTTGTATGACCCAACTCATATTGAAATAAAGCTAATGTTTTTACATTTTAAGTATGGTATTGTCGTTTGATTTAGACTTAAAGACAATAACAAGTAATTCCCCATTTGTAATGAACTAGTATTGTTGTTTTAAGTTATAAAAAAATAAAATAAATAATATGTTAAAAATGGCTTTTAATACCTTGTCACTTCTTTTTAATACATTTGACGATTGAGTTGAGTGGTTGCTTCCCTTGTACATTTTTTTTGTGTTAATTAAGGGTTAGGCTCCGGAACAAAAGGTTTTTGTTATTTAATACTTGACAGGAAACCAGAGGCGAAGCGAGGGTGAGGCGGGGGTGCGGACCGCACCGAGTGACACCATTTAAAGGGGGGTAACATCATGGCAAAAAAAAAGCAAAATTTATATATATAATTAAAGATAATTCCATTTAAATTAATGATTAATTAGAGTTGTTAAGAGCAAACTTGACAAATCCCGACAAAGGGTCAGAGTTTCTTCCAGGCATCTCTTCGGGGGGGGCTTTGCCCCCCCGAAAATTTTTTACCGCCCCCCCCCCCCCCCCCGAACGAAATGAAATTAATATAATTTATATAGAAAATATATACTTTTAACAGTGTCCGCCCCCCCGAAGAAAGTTTACCGCCCCCCCCCCCCCCCCCGAAGATTTCAAGTGCCCCCCCCCCCCGGAGAAAAAAGTCTGGAAGAAACAGTGCAAAGGGTTGTGGTAGGGGTGGTGACACGATGACGCAAACGTGCTTACTATAGAGGAAAACAATGTTAAATCAAGCTATTTTAGTAACGGACTATAAATAAATTATAAATATCGTTACTATGACAACATAAACCATCTTGAAAAATTAACTTATTCGTAGGAATTTTTAAAATTCACCATAACATAGTTTGGAGATCTGCAATTTATTTTTTAGCTGAATACTTCAAACTACGTTACAGTATTATGAATACACACTTTATCGGTCTTAAAGTATGATACTTTATGAGCTAACACAACCACTGTCAACCACTCACCCTACAACTTAAATACTACTCGCAAAGTCATACACCCACACCACATACATACAACACAGCCTGTAGAATGTTGTGGAATTGAATATAAAAGTGAACGGAATGGTATATGTTGGAGTATACTTCAGTCGAGATGTAATCGCCTTCTAAACTTCTTCTTCTTCGTTCTTAATTTTTAGTGTTGGGAGGGATCGAGCCTTATCTGCCAGGGGGTTTGAACTCGAGACTTTTTTCGAATTTATCAACCATGAGCTTTAAACAATACTTCAGCGATAAAAGGTATTAGATTTAAATTGACAACAACTAACTGGGAATTCTATGAGAAAAATACCCATTTTCTCCACTTCTTTCGAAGACAACGTTGCTATTTTGATAAATGAAAGAAAAAAGGTCATATAAAAAATACACGCTGTCACGGCTTATATTTTAGACACTTTTCTTTATATTATCTCTAACTTTATATGCATGTCAACCAGTGGCGTCGCTAAGTCGGGTGTCACCCGGTGCGGCACCTCGTTGTGTCACCCCCACCCACCCCCACCTGATGT